AGCTGTAGCTCACGAAAGCTCATGCTCAAATAAATTGGTTAGTCTCTAAGGTGCCACAAGTACTCCTTTTCTTTTTACTATGGAATGTGATTTCACCTTGTGTTTACTCTCTGCTGGTGGGTCCTTTGTTTACACAAATATTTTCCTTCAGTATAGAAACCTTCTGTTGTAGGGTGCAACCAAGACATATGTGGCTTGGGTGGCATAACCGCTCTGTAGCAGATAGAGCTGTTTCCTACAGTAGTCCAGCATACCTCTGTACAGACCCCAATTTGAGGAGCAAAGCCCACTGACTGCCTTTGTAACTTTAAAGCTTGCTGATCATGTAACACCCTCTGTACAATGCGGTTCACACCTATTAACACAGACCAGGGATGCACGGTTCGCACCCCGCTAGAAAGGGCCATGCTCAAATAGAGTTTGCTAGCAAAAGCTCTGTACAAGCTTAGTCAGAGTTTGAGTTCAACAGGAAATGAAGGTTCAAAGCAACTGGGTGAGCTTGTTCATAGTCACCACCTTCAACTCAGTCCTGGGAAGTCAGCTCCAACAGCAGCTTTAAAAACTTAGCCCTTCATAATAAAAGAACATCCAATAGTTGCCTTGCTGTAGTACTGAAGATCTAAAGGCAAAGTTGTAGAAGGGTTTCCCACTAATGCAGGTATTTCAGAATCACCCTTTTTTCCAGCAGGACAGCAGAGAGTACTCAGCGGGCACATTCATTTCCTAATCACAGCCTCAGTTCAAGGAGACACTACCCTGTGAAGAACAAGAGCCTGGAAGCTATCTAGTCAGAGGGCCATTCAGCTCAGAGGCAGTGAGAGTTTCTGCACTCCAGGAGGCACCACCCTCTAAACGAGGAAGGCAACCCAGCCTGTCGGGGGGGAGAGAGGCTCCTCAGTGACACAGGGGAGTTCAGAAAGTGAATCTAGGAAATGCAAGAGGCTACCGTGCAGCGGAAGGTTCCACTGTGGCTTTGAAAATATTCCGCTTGGTGTTCTGAGCTCCCCAACACCCAGGGGGACAGTGCTGCTTCATGCATGTGTTACTACCATGGCAACATCTCTCACCTTCTCATCTTTCAGCTGGCTGGAAGCCCTGCACTGCTTTGTGCTGAGACTGCAAAGAGGGGTGACAATCTCACCCGCCCACAACACAAAGGGTCTGTGATACCTGCAAGCACACCATGTAACACAACAGACTGCACTGCCTGCACACTCAGGGGTGTATGCAAGCTGATCATAGGGGCCACACTGGGGGAGAAGAGGTTCTCTTTTCGGAGAGGAAGAGTATTTCTCTTGTGGATGAGTGCCTGCCCTTTTAGTTTTTGAAGTCATGAGAGAAATGCTGCTTGGTAATTTCATCAAGGGGCTTGGCAGCTTCAGTTTGGAAAACTGCAAAGACCTCAGCATGCCAAAACGCATGGGAAAGTAACATGCGTCATTAGAGGGCTGGAAGGTTCAAATGCCGCGGCTGCACAGAAGTCTGCTTTGATGTGAGGCAGCACAAAAGTGGTGTAATGCATCACCAGCACGGGCTAGTCCCACTCACATTCGGCAAGTCAGAGCGCTGCTGCAAACCAGACACCACTGTGTACAGCCTCTTCCTACACACATCGTGTATGTGGCTCACTACAGGACGGATCAAATGCCTTGAAGTTGAGGTGGTTTAGCTTCGGCCAGCAGAGAACTGTATGATGGGTGTTAACAGAGAACCTTTACTTTTTACATTTTGTGGAAAAAATAACTATTTACTAAATTTTACCGAAAGTGCCAGTGTCACTTATTCAATGCACAAAAGCTCCCCCTCTTGTGGTTGATTTTTGAATGCGCTTTAAATATACATAGCTAAATATACTCCAATAAACTGCTTCTGGCATACAGCGGTTACTCAGTGGCGTATAGGGGGTCGTGTTTTAATGCATCTCAAATTTAATTTCAGCCTCCGGATATGCGTAATTAAAGTTATGTAAAGATGCCAAAAAACTTTAAAAATCACCCCTAAAGACCATGTCACTGAGTTTAGCAAGGACAAATTTCATATTGATAAGCAATATGCTATTCTGTACTGTACGCAGGAAGGCTGTAGATTACGTTCAAAGGCAGACAATTGTACAACACGTGGAAAGCGCTACACAAACTGAATGAAAAGAAATTAAAACGAGGCTGAAACAGCAGAGTCACTGACAACAGTAAAGAGACAACGCACTGTGACTGGATCATTCTATTAATTTTATTTTATTATAATGATTGATGGCATCGGTAGGCTTCAAACATTTTAAAAAGATATCAAGAAAACATTGTGTTTAACTGATACCTATATATTGTGACCATGGAAATTAAAGGGAAAACGCTGATTTTTATGTTTTTTTAAAATCACAGAATTTTGTCATCACAGAAAACTAGGATCCCTGCTCATTACATGCTCTTCACATGCCTATTCAGTAGTTACTGTAGGCAACCGGCAATGCCTCCCTCTTACTGGCAATTCTGCCCATTGCTGATGTTAAGACTGGTTACGTCTCAGCCACTAAGAGGACTGATCATGTGTGAGAGGCACAAGCAGTAGCCCAGCAGAGTGTCTGGCATGATGCCTGCATGCCTCAGGCTGGATGAAGCACATGGGCTAATGCTTTCAACTCTTCAAGGAGTGCAGATTTACTTTTGGCCCAGACTTGAACCAATCACCACTCTACAAAAATCTTAGGGGAAGTTTTGGGAGAAGCCAAACAACATCAGTGTGAACCCTGGAATTGAGACCAGAGAGGCTGAGAGAGAGAGAGAGAGAGAGAGAGAATGAAAATGGTATGAGACCACTGGTACTCCACTCCCCACCCCCTCACAAGGATCTTGTGTCCCCTCTGCTGAAACCACAAGGCTCTCCTTTCATCCCTACCACTTCACTTTATACTTCTCCTCACTTTATGTTCTGCAATGCAGCCAAAGTCCTTCCAGCCAAGGAAGGGTTCCTTCCAGAGCCAACTGTCGTAACTTGCTGGAGGCACCACTGTTGAGTCTCTGCAGCCCTTCCGATATCGAACATCCACTGCACTCCTGCACCACCCCACATTCCCATGCTAATCCTTTATGCGCCTCACTAAAAAAAAAAAAAAAAGCTTCCTGCAAATGGGGATGTTAACGGGTAAAATCCCCATCATGGAAAGACTCAAGATAAATGGAACTTGGGGAAACCATTGGAAGCACAGCTACAAAACAAGGACAAGTCCTCTCATTTCAAGAATTCTTCCTATTATTCTTCCTATAAGGCCCAAAATTGTTTCTTTTGGAAGTAATCTTCTAAAAATCCTGATCGCCCCCACAGACCTCTGGCTAATGCACCAATACAACCTGTATATCGTGGAAATCCAGTCCCTGTTTCAAGTACTGGCAAGTTAGCCTGAAATACCGTGATATCAGAAGAACCAGCCAATCAAAAGGATAGTGCATTTGGAGCACTGATCAACCTGAACACTCTGCCAGACCTTCATGCCATAACTTTACATTCTGAAAAGAATACCTGTACTTTTAAAAAACTGTAATATTCTTCAAACTCTGAATTCTGCTTACTTGCTGTAACCAGTGGGGTGGACCTGTATGGTTCACTTTAAAAAAAAAAAAAAAAAAAAGAGGAGAGTTCTATTATTTTATCATGCAGTTTTAAAAACTGGTTGATTGTGCAAGTCATTGGTGCCATCTAGTGGTTCTCAGCCTTCCTTAGACCACATGTAAGGATGCTGTAGTTTTCACTTGGGCTAGCAGTACAATTTCTCAAATGTTAACCGGTTGACATTAGTTCAGTGGGTCTGTAGCTCCAGAATCCAAAAAGCAACTGCTGATCCTTCATCAGGCTAGTCTAGCTCTCAGCTTCACAATGCTGACAATAATGTAATAACTATTCTTAGCAATACAAGTTTCTCCAAAAAAAAACAAAATTAGACTTCCAGTACAAGATGAAAAGGAGTACTTGTGGCACCTTAGAGACTAACCATCATAGTAGGCAAATGGACACATGAAATTTAGAATAAGAACTCTCAGTGGCTACAGTAGCTACAAGCATGAGTGCAACTCATTTAAGATAGGAGCTTCAGTGATACAGACCATCCCATAAGAGTCCCTGATATCGTGGCTTAGGGTAAGCAAGACTCATTAGGTATCAGAGCTTGGATACAGATACTACGTAGGTCTTAATTCACTGGCATCAGTGAGTTAGGAGGCACACTGAGAAAAAATTAAGTCCTACCATCAAGATTTCTACAGGCATTTAGCACTCAGAAAGTCTCTGGAAGAAACTAAATCCTATTTCTCTACAGAGCAGATGCAGCGGCAGTTCAGGGTTTCCCCATTCTGCTCTGCCAGCGTACCTCTCCTCTGACCTGGTGAGACTACCTCCATGGCTCATTCTCCATCACCCATTCAGTGGCTAAGCCCTTTGCCGAGATGGCAACAAGGGTGCTGATTAACGGGTTTTGTGAAGAGTATGTAAATCTCCAGTCCTTTGAGTGGACAGATTTCATATATGGTGAAATATATGCAGATGGTGACTTTCTGGCACTAACGAAGTCTGGATCCAGAGTGGTGACATCCAGCAACAATAAGAAGTGTCATTCTATGAGGGAATTTGATTTTGGCTTCCCCAGTTCTCTTAAAGTTTCATTACAGTTAGAATGGTCATAAAAACCAAATGACATTTTAAAAAGACCCTATGACCAGTCCATTTTAAACTCATGCTTAAGTATCTTGAGAGACATTACTGTGCAACCATCTCCTAAGCGGAGCGTACAGAGCAGGATTTAACCAAGTCTGTATTAACGATACCCTGAAATGCAGCCCTGCCTTTAGTCACGTGCCTTACCAGAAGGCCAACAGCCACCTTGGCAAGAATTCTCTCCCTCCACCACACCCATGTCACATGCACATTTCATACCGCTAGCAAAACAGAGCAGCCCTCAAGCGGTATACCTCAAAACTCTGAAAGAGACGACCAGGTAAATATCAGCCCTTTACCTTCCTGCAGCGAGGGTTGGGACAGCTGAACCGCTTCACATCGTTGTCCAGGAGCGCCGGGAAGTTACAGAAAGGACACCTACAGCACAAGAGAAGACAACATTAACATCCTATATTGAGTAACTCTGTTGCAACAACTCCACACGCCCCTTAACAAGGTAGTCAGCTATGGCCTGTCTGTCAAAAAAAAATTCAGTGACCTCAGCACTGTCTCTTTTCTTCCTACAGTTCTCTGATTGCAGCCCCTCTTTGTGTCCCAAAGATCACGTGCTCAGTGCTACTTCTAGACTATTTCACACAGAGGATTAGTGCAGAGCTGACAAACCATAAGAGATGCAACGCTCTGTTGATTCTGATCTGTTTCTACTGACCAAAGAAAGCTAGCGTCTATTAATAAAAATATTTAGGGGTAAAAGTCAGATATCTTAGTTACAGACAGCCTTTAAAAAAACCCAGCTGCCTTGTGATACCAAGCCAGCTAATGTTTTGGGCTATAGAACCAGAATCTACTGCAACACTAGGTGTCAAACTACCACTTGTTCATCCATTTCACAGCATTAACCCACTTTGACACGCTGGGAACCTACCTGACTAGCTCATCCGCACAGGCAGCAGCCACCTCTTCCTCAGCTTTCCGCTCATAGTATTTACACAGGATGTTCTCTGGGAGTACCTTCTCCAGCTCACTGGTTGGGAATGAACATGTGCAGCTCCCTTCCATGCAGCTGAGCTCTGACTACATTGGTGAAGGAAGAGAAGAAGAGACAAGGAAAGTTCATAAAACATAAAGGCATCACTCAATTCTACTGAATCAAGATTGATTCAACAGAACCGAGTGGTCTAAGACAACGAAAACGTTTGTATTGAAACTGACATTTCCAGATGTGACCACAGCAGATGACTGCATAAGTGCAGAGGTGGAAGGGGAACAGATAATAATATATCAGACAAGTGCCATATACCGTGTAAACACTCAGCTATCAAACATGGTCAAACACTTTGCACAGTGGCAATTTTCCCACAGAAGGTAGATCATTAATGGCAGAATTCACCCTTTTCCAATATTTTGAAATATTTCTCCCTTATGAACAGAACAGTGACATGGTTTTATAAGATAAAGCCTGCTAAGTGTATACTTCTGTTGTCGCATCCAAATCACAACGCCCGTGTGGACTTATTTTAAAAGTCACAGACATTCAACTATGCACTAGTGTTGCTATACCACTACACTGCAGTTCCTCCACTTCAAGCTGCATCATGAGACATGGTACATACTAATATCTATGAATGTAGAGATATTTAAAAGCTAAACAAAAAAATGGAATTGGAACACTACAAAGGAGAATCCCCTGAGTCTTCACTCCCTGCATGCCTCAGAGCAGCGGTTTTCAAACTTTTTGAGCTGATCCCCACTTTGAATTACAATTTTTGGTTGCACCCCCCCAACACAGACCAAAAAAAGAGGTGAGTCGGGGGTGGAGGCAGCACTTCCTACCCAAGCACTGAAGCCTGAGCCCCGCTGCAGGGGCCAAAGTCTGAGCCACCTGGCATTGCAGCTCGCCCCCTCTCCCTCCCACAAAGGTTCCTCCATGCCCCCTTAGGAGAGCGAACCCCACAGTTTGAAAACCTCTGCCTCAGAGTTCAAATCTTGAGTCCCAGCCACCAACCTACCCCACTGTGCAAAACTGGGTTACGGCTCTGGTTTGGAAGCAAAGACATAGGAAGAAAGTGAAAACACTGTTTTTCTTTTACTCACCCCATTGAGCCTGGCTACTGATACGGGCAACTGCACACTTTTGGGAAAAATGTTGCTTGAGAACCTTAATTCCGCTTGCTTAACTATGTAACCTTAACCATGCATTAACAATTTTTGTGCATTTAGCACTGCTAAGGAGAGTTTCAATTCAATTCAATGACAAAGATCCCTGTACGCAGTTGTTCGCTATCTGCAGGAGGGCAAGACAAATTTGGTTTTTTGCTACTAAAGTCTAAGTGTGTTCCACACGATAGAACACTTCATAAGACGTGCAGTTATACCAAGTTCACAAATTCCTCCAGCATACCTACATACTTCACACTATTGATTACATGAACCTACACATGCCTCCATCCACTTTTCATTCTCTCGTTGGGACACGCTTACCTTCCCAGAGCCAAAGACTGCCTCCTGAGCATATTTGATTAGGCACTCCTTGCAGAACAAGTGACCATCTGCACACTGTGTCAGTTCCTCAAATGCGAATTCCCCATAGCAACAACGACACTCGATCATCTGACCATCCTGCAACCATTAAAAAGATTAATTCCCCCACCATCCAACCCAAATAGCAACAGCAATAGGCTATTGCAAATATATAAATGAGACACCCATAAAATTAGCACGTGCGGTTGAGACACAACCTTACCACCCTGTCTGAGACTCCCAATAAGCTGAAAGTGGCATGAGCATTTCTAACAAGAATAGCTACAGTTTGTAACAGTCAAATAGTTGCTTTGTTTAGAGTTTAAATTCCCCAAGAAAGTTAAAAAACGGAAGTTCTAACTACTCTCTAACAGACTGCAATGTAGGACAAGCCATCGCTGTAGCCAATTACCAAACCCATGCACACTTTGGTGTATTTGCTAGTATGCCTAAGTGCTAAGAATGAGGGGATTTGAATGACAGAAGAATAAAAGTATCACTAGAGGGGAGGAAGGGAACAGAATGCACCGTTCACATTTGAAGACTAGGATTCAAGTTTAGTGGCCTGCAACTACCCCAAAGGATATTTATCCATATCACAGGTCAGGAATATGGTGCATTGGCAGCAGTGTTTTAGAAGAAGGGAAGCTTGCACAGTTCCTGTCTGTGATACGATGGCACTGATAACTAGGCATGGTCCCTTCCTTGTAAAGGCCAATATGCACTCCAAAGCTTAAAGGTAATGGATATTGAAAGGAAAAAGGTAATTCATAGCAGCTGAATAGAAGCCCAACCATCATCTCTCTTAATTGAAATGGAAAGGCTTAAGTTTTCAGATTTCAATAAGCCCCCCATAGCGAATGGAAGAGAAGCCTCTCCAAGAATAGCACATCTGTTTTAAATTGTCATAATGTGAGTAGCAATGGCAACCCTGATTACTAATCTACTGCAGTGCTGGCATGGCTAATCAGGTTATTAGCAGCAACCAAATGAGTTACTACAATTCATTACATGCATCAATACTGCCTTCCTGAACTCAGCTGTTGGTACCCTTTTCTAAAAGCCAGGCCAAACACACACACACACACACACTAGGGGTTTTGCCAGCTCAGCAAAAACAATCCTACAGCAAATGAATGGAGTATGTGAGACGCCAGACAAGTCAGCTTAGAAATAAGGGAGTAAATGCAAATACTTATTACAAAAATCAGGTGACAGAGCTACTGACCTTCTGATACTGCTCCTCGTTCATCTGCAGGGCAAGAAGGAAGTCTGCATGCTGACAAAGACATGTATGTGCATTTGTAATTATTGAACTAATAACGCTCCATTCCAGACACTAAACACTTTTATGTAATCTTAAGATTTAAAGCATCAGAAGTATGTTACACTTGACAGGCTGCCCACAAACTGCTCAACCTACCATTCCAATTCCAGTTACCTATCAAGCTATTTAAGACTCTGCTCTTAAACCCACCACTGCTATGAACCAGATTCCAGACAGTCAGCAAATTCAGGCTCTTGCAGACCCAATGGGCAGAGCAGATACCAGAGTGAAGGGCTTTTACAGAGATGATTGAGAGCATCTGCCTTGTTTTTAAAGGAACACCATCAATTTATATAAAGTTTTTAAAGCAATTCTTTCCCCAACAAGTCAGTGTGAAGATATAAACTCAGTCCTTTCCCAGAATATGAGCAGCAGAGGCAGTTTGTAGTAACGGGTGGCAGGTTTCTGCTTTGGCGGACTTGGGTTTGAGTTCTGCTTTTAGTTTCCATGTAGGTAGGCAGAGGAGTTCTACAGATAGATTGCCTTGTAGGCACAGCAGGCACCATGCTTGCTAATTATAGAGCTGTATTCACCAACTCCAAAGGAAGTCTTACCACTGGTATTGTGATGAAAGGAGGCACGTTACTGCCAAATGGAGGAGGTTTAAAGCTTACTAGGGCAGAGAATGAGCAGTCCTAGAACTCAAGGAGCAAAATCCAACCACACTTCTCCCCTGGCTTAAGGAGGGTCCAGAATGACATTTTAACTTCAGCTCAGCATCCCAAATCAAGTGAAAATGTGAGCTGTAAGGAGATTACTCTAGGCAGAAATGGTAGTTAGCTGCCTACGCATGTAATAAGCTCTGAATAGGTTGCTAGCTTGGCTAGTCCCAAGGTGCCAAACCACAGCTCATTTCTAAAAAGTCATGAATGGGAACTGGGAGGAGGAAGAATTGATATTCAGTGTTTTGTTCAGGTGTGTGTATTTATGCAGGAGACAGACAGACAATGAGGGCAATTCATGACAGTCTCACCTCTGCCATCTCTTTAATTTTCTGTTCATAGAACTCCTGCTCCAGTTGCACGGGTGGGAGAAGCGAGAGCCTGTCGTAGGACCTGTAGTGCCGTCTCTTGTTCTCCAAGAAGAACATCCGCTTCTCAATTTTCACGTCACCTAAAGCAGGATAAGAAGCAGGATGAGAATGGACTGGGCAGTGAGATCAAAGCTCAGGGTGTTTCCTTATCTATACCTGTGACACGACAGACCACTACTCATTATACAACTTCAGAGTTCAGAAGCAGTACTGTATCAAAAAGACATATTATTTATTCATGTATACCATCATATCTTCACATCTATACTAGACAATGGCAGAAAACATAGAGGTTTCAGGGTCAGAGCACCTAACAATGGTACCTTCTGTGGTGGGTAAGCTCTGCTTGCAAGATGCACACAGACTACCATAAACACCAGCTGCTGCTTACCTTGCTCAAATTTGAAATCAATGTAGGAAAACTGGTTCATTTCTTTCCTCCTTTTTCGCTTCCCACTGTTTTCCGGAGACAGCTCCTGCCATTTTTTGAGGGCATCAGAAAAGGCCTAAAAAAAAGAAAAGAAAAGAGGAAACAAGGAAAGAGGGATGTTAACACAATCGCTCCAGATAAGTCTCTACTACTCTTTGCAAGAAAACAAGAACTGTGTGCGTCCATTACAGCGCTAAAAATTCACAGGGCCTTCAAGTCTGACTTGAAGACAGGGCAGCAAAAGCCTCAGAAATAAGTCTGCTTCTCCTTCCTTCACTCATCCTACCACCGTAGAGACATGGGGCGATCACACTGTGTGGGAAACAGAGTGCTGTATTGTTCAGGTGCAGAGGAACGATATACAACCGCCCCTACAGTGCTAACTATAATGCTGCAATGCCAGTGCCCAGAACGTAGTGGGTGAGGTCTGTAACACATTCTGAAGAATGTTTTTGCGGGTAATCTGTGAAGATTTTAGGGCCATATCATGCTCTCTCTGAACTCAACTAGGAGCAAAACTTTTCTACTTAAGCATTAAGCTAGTCTAAGGGGTGAGGTGTTTAGTCTTATTTCAATGTTGTGGTATTAGATGGGGGGGGGTCTAACAGTTTCAGACAAAACTGGTCACTAGCCAGCAACAACTTAGACTAGGCTAAGATAAATGTATTGCCCATTGAACTCACTTTCTTTGAGTTGTTCTGCAGTTCTGCTACATGGATATTCTTCTAAAAGGAAACTACCATGCAAGCTAAATCTAAGGGGGCCAGAATGGCTCAGCAGCCTCAACCAATTCTTTATAACCCAAGTTATTAGAAAAAGAATGAGTGAGGAGAGAGGGATCTCACACATCAGCTGTAAGTTACACAAGGGTCTGATCGCATCTGATTGTTACTCATCTAATTTAGGAGGTGACACTCCGTTATGTTTAAGTTGTGTTTGTATACAACTGACACGTTTGTCTTAAGATTTGGTTAGCATAGGCTCTACTGGCAATTACACCTCCTTTTGGCCATGAAGCCTGGAATATTCCTCGGGACAGGCTATGTTGTATCACCACTAACTAGACAGCACCCCCAATAACTCTGTATTCTGGGAGAAGCATAACAGCATCAGCAGCAGGATGGGATACTTCAGAAATTTCACAAAATCAGCCATTTCCTACCAGCCACTGATCTGAAGATCAATTGCACTCCAAATAAAGGAGCATTTTTAATACTAGCCGATGGTGCAAACAAAGGCACCATGCTTCCCCCTTCCAGCGCCAGGGATAGGCAGCCTTGGAAAGAAAAACAGAATCTGACTGAAGAACCTTTCGTGTGATTGCATAGTGTCCCTTGAGTTCATGTAGTGCCCACTTGATGTCCTGACTGCTTAGCATTTTGAAGTCGGCCATAAGGAGGTCAGCTGCTTGGATAAAGCATCGTTGATCAAGTGGGGCGAGTTTGGAAAAGTCAAAGTAATCCACTTTAGGCACCTGGAGAGAACATTAAAACAGGAGTTAATGCAAGCCTGACCTTTTAAAAATAAAAAGGTTTTCCTCTTTCAGCAGTGATGAGCGAACACTGGCAAGATCACACAGAACTAAACTGACTGTTCTGAGTGTGTGCACAGTTTGTGTAGAATTAGATTATTCTAATGATCAGTGGGTTCATCTGAGTAGGATTAAGATTTGCTCTGTTCTCAGAAGCATGAGACTTAATCTCTATGCCGACTAGCCCATGTATAACCATTTGAGATCTACTTAAATAAAAGGAAAGCAGCCAATGGGGAGACAAGGAACCTTTCCAGTTACTTTTGATGGAAATAAAGTGGGGAAATACACTGAAGCAGCTAGCCAGTCTAGTGGCTGAATGGCAGTGCTCCAATGCCACACGAGAAGAAGATTAGAATTTCAGTCTACTTCATACTCAAAGGAGCTAGGTATGCAGAAGCACTCCATATTAATATCAATCACCTACTGACGAGGATTGAAGGAGTTAGGGTACTTTCCATTTCTCCTTGATGGAAGGAGATTGCGTGTGGTGCAGTCTTGTACAGTACATTTGAAGGGATAAACTGGCAAGAACTAGGAATGCACAATACCCAATGGAAGAAAGCCCTTTGGAAGTCATTTTACAAGCATGCTTTGGATAGAATTACTTATATTACAGATATACCAAATGACCCCCAATCAGGGATCAGGGCTTCATTGCACAAATGTACCGAAAGGAAAAGCTTTTACTGAAAGCAGCCCAAATCAAATATGTTTGCTGGGATGCATATTAGATATGAAGACACTTCTCACTTGCCTTTGTCTCATCTTGGCTGGCGAGCAGGCTGCTATTGGGATTTAAAACCACTCTGCCTTCCTTCTTTGGATAATCTGGATTTTCCAGAAGAAAATTACAAAGTCTGCAAAGATAAGTGTAGTTACTTGTGGGTTTGTGAGCCCACATCCCTGCATACATTCTTAAATTTTAGAATGAAGTGGATTTTTTACCCACGAAAGCTTATGCCCAAATAAATCTTAGTCAGTCTTTATGGCGCCACCGGACTCCTCGTTGTTTTTGTGCATACAGACTAACACGGCTACCCCGATTTTCAAATTTAGCTTCTTCAAATTAAGAAGTTCTATGGATATGCTACAGCTGGGCACCACAGGCTAAAAGACGGCATTTCAGGTTAGAATAAACTACCGCCAGGATGATTTGAAAGACAAATCCACTCGCTTTTATTTATTGTTCAAACATTTGAACATTCTTTTACTTGACCCTGAAGTTCAGTTCACACAGATGAGTTAACATCATAATTATTTCCATACCAGAAAGGAGATGGCAAATATGACTTACGTCACTACATTTAAGGGCAGCTATGGCCAGAAAAGTGGCCATGTTAAATTAGGCACCTTCTTTCAAATCACTTTTGATTTCAAATAAAAAACATTTACTACTTTTTAATTTGCGCTTCATTGCAGAACTAACAGCACAGAGATTGAATAGGGAAGAGTAACAGCCACCATGCATGCAGCACAAGCGCAAACCCAGTGGTTGCTGTTTCAGCTAGTACAAAAACACCTTTTGAAAGTTTTGTTTTAAGATTAAAGAAATCCAAGAGCACAAGGTGTTGCACCAGCCCTGCACCAGCCTTTCCAAGCCGGAGATCTGTTTCAAATCTTGGTTTCTTCTCTGTTTCTGTGTGAGGACAGATGGAGGTTGGAGGATTTAACTATGTGTAAACTTGGTTTGAATGGAGGGTACATGCTCTGAACATGGGTTTCACTGCAATAAGGTTTAAGTCACACAGGCACTGTCTAGACCATGTTAGGAACTGGTTTAGCTACAACTGTTTAAGGCATATTTAAAATTTGTTTGTTTTAAAAATAAGCCACATACTTCACTCCAAGTCCAAGGCAGCAGAGGTTCTACTACTAGTGATCACGAATTTGGCAGATGAAAAAGTTTCAGTTTAGCTTAACTACAAGCTAAAAGGCCACGGCAAACAGTCATCAGGGCATATACGTTGCCAGAGCTGTGAGGAGAAGATTTCAGAACCTATACCTAGAGAGGAAATGGGTTGTAGTGATCAGAGTAAAGAACTGTGAATCAGAACTCAATGACATATTGCCAGCTCTGTTACTGAGGTTATGACTATACTGTGGCAAAAGATGCATAGCATGGCTGTGGCCGGCCCAGGCCAGCTGACTTGGGCTTGCAAGACTGAGGCTGCAGGGCTATAAAAGTGCAGTGTAGATGTTCAGGCTCAGACTGGAGCCTGGCTCTGAGATTAGGGTAACCAGACAGCAAGCGTGAAAAAAACAGGACGGGGTGGGGTATAACAGGAGCCTATATAAGACAAAACCCCAAATACCGGGACCGTCCCTATAAAATCAGGACATCAGGTCACCCTATCTGAGATGCTCCCACCCCTCACGGGGTCTCGGAGCTCAGGCTCCAGGCCAAGCTCAATCATCGGTGCTGCAATTTATACTCCCGCAGCCAGAGCCAGCTGACCTGGGCTCTGAGACTCGGTGCCGCAAGTTTATCGCAGTGTAGACACACATGCCAAAACTAGCATGGCCAGTCAGAGTCACATAAACAGTTCCTTAGTCTCTCCATCCACACAATGGGATAAAACCTATCTCAGAGGTGCTCAGAGGAACAGTTAATGTTTGTAAAGCACAGAAATCTTTGAATGAAAGGTGCTAGATAGCAGCCTAGATAACTAGATAACCAGCTAGATAACATTCTTCCTAGAGCCAGCCAATGCTAACAACTCACGTTTGCGATCAAAAGAGGGGCTTTTTTAAAAAAAGCCAGTTCAAATGCAACACTTTCCCACCCTCACAACACTGTTATTTTAGTCCAACTCTCACACTCAAAGCGAAGAGTTATATTAGGCACCGACATATTGACCAGAAAATAAGCTCAGTCAATCAAAAGTGTCCGCAAATGAAAATTTACGATATATGGTACCCTGCTAAGTGGGATGTTTACATTTTATCTTGTATGTCAGAGGACATTTTTTAATATGTCCGTCTTAGAAAACAGCTTCATGCCACGGCATTGTATACATTTGACAGCACTTGCCATTTTTTTAAAAACTGCTGATGTCCAGTGAAATGGAAATTTCACAGAGCTCAAGCCAGAGCAGCTGAAATGTAACAATTTTAATTGTGGAACAATCAGTTTACATTTTAATTATTCTGTCATTTGGGTGCCTAGAATTTTCAGCGAAGTTAACCTTCAATATGCCTAACAATTAGCTAAATGGGCCCCTCTATGCAGTGAGCATGCTGTAGTGTACCTGCACCAGAGGACATCAAGCCCATGAAGAGCCTTGTCATAGCCCAAATCTGGCCCCTCTTATTTATTACATTTCAGCTTGACATGCCATTGAGATGAAAGTAAGTAAGGCTGATCAGTGCTCTGACCTACTTATTCCAACACAAAAGATGTGATGACAACCCAAAAGATAGCTTATTAAAAGGAATAAAAATACAGGCAAGAAGCCTTTCTTGACCCGTCAGTCACCCATGCACTACAGAGCAGATATTTTTGAGTGCTTACTGGATAAACACCCACTCACCTCATTTGTCCTAGATCAATAGGGTCCTATAAGCTAAAATTGGAGTTTAACTCTATTGAACCCTTGCAGGATAATATGGGTAATTTGACTCAATGATAGGAGACTGATGGGGAAAGGATGCTTCAAAGCATGGATAGGAAAGTGAGAAATTAGTGGCTTCTATTAGGGAAGCCAAAGTCCCAAACTCTTGTCTCTGGTGGAGAGATCTTAAAGCACAAACAGCTATTGTGGCAGACTTGGAATTCTAGGACTATTATGCATTGAACATCCTAGGTTCATTGCTGACTGTCCTAATTATGGTTCCACATAACTTGTAGATTCATGCATCCTGATATTGTTCAATTAATTGTCTTGTTTAGCCAGGCAAGAACTATCCTCATATAAAAGATTGTGAACACTCCAGCTACTGACCATTATTTTCAATTTTTGCTTTGCTTACTAATCAGTTTTAACATGTTTTAGACTGTGAAAGGGCATCTTCAGGCCATACTGATAGGCTCTACGCTACAGACCCATGCTGATGAAGGAAAATACTTGGAGCCACTTTCTCTTCTTTCAAAATCCTGCAACTTATCCAGTTCTGCTGATACCAAGACATTAGACTCCTCAACTGCCTAGTTGTCAAGATTTCAGCAAGGAAATGAGGAAGAGGGTGGTGCTGCGTTAATGAAGTACATTGTTCTTTACTCAGTGTTCAGTGGCATTTTGATCCTACGGTGATCAAGAGAGATCTCAAATACAGTGTTTAACATAGAATAATTTTTCTGGAGCCACCAACGCAATTGGCAAAATAATTTAACAATCCTCGGACTGGTTTTACTTGCCAAAGTTTTGCTCAAGTTCTAGGCTACCAGCAACTGATATTTATGAAGTTAACACTATCAACCCAGGACATGTTAGTTTTGTCATGTATATAGAAAATATTTAGAGAAAAATCTAATAGGACATGCCACTGCAGTGTTACGGAAAACCGCATCAAAGCATCAGGTGGCGAGTCCAGGACATAGTGTCAGCTTTATAAGGAGTACATGTCCAGTTTGTCACAAGCTGGAGTGCAGGAACAAACAGGAAACTCTTTTCAAATCAGATAGGCAAAGGAAAGTCAAGCCCATCCACTGACATTTTTAAAGCAACAGGGGGAGGAAAGCTAGTAATACATCAGGACAGTCTGTAAATATTAAGGGTATAAACATGAAGGATGGAAAGAAACTATCTAAATGTCTATTTAGAAGCAATGGAATATATTTAAGGAACTACCAGCTTGAGGGAATGTAACAAAACATCTTCCTGAACATGAGATCCTGTAGGCTGCGGAGTATTTCCCAAGGGAAGGAATGGAAACCTCTGTGCCAGGACATTCAAAACCAGGCTGAATAATGTCCTAGAAAAATATTTTGCAGAGCACAATCCTGCATGACCTAATAAGACTTTTTAACTTTGTGATACTAAGAACATTCCAAAAGTGAGATGATACAAGGTACCAACATACTACTCAATTTTGCCAAGAACCCAGAAAAGTATTATTTTAAGCGCTACTTGTACCTGAAGGGGTATTTCTAACGTAGCGAGAGAGCTTTAGGCGTTCTGGAATAATTCAGTCTCCTTTGAGCAATGCTTTACAAAAAAAGTCATCTCTGTGCTTTACTGCAGCCGAGATACCTACCTGCATTTTTCTAGAAGTTTGTTAGCAATTAAACAACTCTAGCTGTGACACAGAAAGACTTGAATGAATAGAAAAGCTGAAGGCAGAATATTTTTCATATTACCAAGAATAAGGTTGGTGGAGCTAGAACGTAATGGCAGCCGGTTTTGCTGAGCAGGGACAATACCAGGAGTGGGGGAGGCTTTGTTTTCAAGAAGGGTTCTGTTACGATTAAGGAAGGATCTGTGCTTCTAGACACTCATGGCAATGCAGACTTCCTCCCCGGCACATTTTGAAGCAATATGACTAGGGTCAGGACAACAAATCTATGACTGTAGCCAACTTATTTGTTATTTCATGAACAAACAGTTCCATTAACCAATTTACTGCTATGTGAGAAGCTCGGACTCTCCGCTCCGTACTTACACATTTAGGTCATAACAGTTCTTGATGTGAATTAATTCCTCAACATACTCTTTCCTCACATCTGGGAATCTTGCTTCCTATGGTGGGAAAAGCAAGAGGTTTGTTATATTGGAAATTAAAGTAATAGAAAAAACCTAGCAGCAATATCAGTAGGAACAGAACATATATAACTTAGCTAGCTTGTCCCCTCCTTCAGGTGTCAGAGCATCTTCTATGAGAAAATTTAAGCTTAACCAGCCTGGAGAGTGGCAACTATAGAGTTTAGGTTCCCGCATTCACTATCTACTCACCACACCCACCCATCCCTTTGCACAAGAAGTTAGGCCAGCTACCCTTGGACACACTGGGGGGTAGTACTGAAGGAAGGCTCTATGAAGCAAGTGTAGCTATTGTTTAACAGTTTCCTGTCCTAAGTAGTTTAATCTTTTCTGCTAAGACACGCAACGCCCTGAAACACAATCAGTAAAAGGAGTGCACTCCAAGCACCCAGGTGTCTGTCAGTGCTAAGATAAACCAGAACTGAGAAGACCGAACATTTCTTATGGTTTTTGTACAAAGTTTTTCCAGCATTCTCCTTACAAAAGGCACCACCCTATCCCTGAAGGGATAGGGAGAGTAAACCTGATCATGTACAGCATTTTGACTTGCAAGACTGTAAAAAACCATAGTAGTTCAAGAACAAAAGTCAACTTTATGTCATATCCAAAGTTAAGCCCAAAGGGAACTGTGAAGAAGCACAAAGGGATCTCACAAAACCGTGTGACTGGGCAACAAAATGGAAGAAGAAATTCAGTGTTGATAAATGTAAAGTAATGCACATGGAAAAACAGAATCCCAACTATACATACAAAATGATGGGGTTTAAATTAGCTGTTACCACTCAAGATAGATCTTGAGGTCATTGTGAATAGTTCTCTGAAACTCAATGTGAAGCAGCAGTCAAAAAAAGCTAACAATGTTAGAAACTATTAGGAAATGGATAGATAAGACAGATAATATCATAATGCCACTATATAAATCCATGGTACACTCAGACCCTGAGTAATGCATGCAGTTCTGGTTTGCTGGAAGCTGGGAATGGGCAACAGGGGATGGATTTCTTGATGATTCCCTGTTCTGTTCATTCCCTCTAGGGCACCTGGCATCGGCCACTGTCGGAAGACAGAATATTGGGCTAGATGGGCCTTCTGTCTGACCCAGTGTGGCGGTTCTTATGTTCACCTCATCTCAAAAAAGATATATTAGAATTGGAAACGGTACAGAGAAGGGCAACAAAAGTGATTACGGTTACAGAACAGCCTCCATATGAGGAGAGATTAAAATATGCCAGGGGATAAGGAGTATTTCTGCCTCCAGATTGTAGCACAATCTCTTATTGTTGCAGAGCTTAGATGACCGCTCCATTCCACTAGGCATTGTACACATGAAGTAGAAGACCATAACTGTCCTGAAGGGCTTACAATCACAGAAGACAACACAGAAAAAGGGTGGGGTAAGGAATATAAAGCTATAAACAAAGGATGGTTTTCCAGTATCAAGTTAGGGTCATGATTTTATGTTCTTATTATAGGCAGTCCTACCAGCCCCACCTTTTCCTAAAGTTACCTGACACTCCTTCCCCATTGTATGACCCTGTTTTCAGTTGCTTATGAAACTTTGTAAAACTGTTTGCGATGAAATTTACATGCCAAGCGTCTACCTCTGGCTAAGTGTTTTGGAAAATTTCAGCCAGAATGGCTCAGCATCCCCAAAATGACGCTAGGGAAAAATACATTTTGCCCATGTTAAAAGATTTCTGGTGACATTTTGTTTCAAAACCCCTGGAACCTCCATGCTTTGGAGCAGGAAACTGAAATCTGGCAGGGGGTGACCTTTGCGCCTTTTTCCATCCCCATGAAAATCCATCCAAATTTGGCCAAATAATAAGTTTTTGGGGGGGGTTGGGAGAATTAGGAGGAGGAGTCAGTTTGCACATGCTCATTAGGCACTTGCTAGAGCTTCACAGGTAAAATTCCCAAATAATCTGTCTGCACTAGGCATGCTCCAGTTTGCATGTGGGCAGGACTTCCCCTGCAATTGCAGATCTGGGGGGCTGCAGGCTGGACCAGGATGAGGCATCAGAAATGAGCACAGGAAGCCTGTATCTCCTGTGCTCTGAATAAAGAAAAGGAGTACTTGTGGCACCTTAGAGACTAACCAATTTATTTGAGCATGAGCTTTCGTGAGCTACAGCTCACTTCATCGGATGCATACCGTGGAAACTGCAGCAGACTTTATATATACACAGAGAATATGAAACAATACCTCCCTCCCACCCCACTGTCCTGCTGGTAATAGCTTATCTAAAGTGATCATCAGGTTGGGCCATTTCCAGCACAAATCCAGGTTTTCTCACCCTCCACCCCCCCACACACAAATTCACTCTCCTGCTGGTGATAGCCCATCCAAAGTGGCTAAGTCATTATGCAAGGTAGCCTATTTCCTCTTGTTTTTTCCTACCCCCCCCCCCCCCCAGATGTTCTGGTTTAACTTGGATTTAAACTTGGAGAGTGGTCAGTTTGGATGAGCTATTACCAGCAGGAGAGTGAGTTTGTGTGTGTATGGGGGTGGGGGGGATGTGAGAAAACCTGGATTTGTGCTGGAAATGGCCCACCTTAATTATCATGCACATTGTAGGGAGAATGGTCACTTTGGATGAGCTATTACCAGCAGGATAGTGAGTTTGTGTGTGTGGTTTTTGGGAGGGGGGTGAGAGAACCTGGATTTGTGCAGGAAATGGCCCAACTTGATTATCATGCACATTGTGTAAAGAGTTGTCACTTTGGATGGGCTATCACCAGCAGGAGAGTGAATTTGTGGGGGGGGGGGGGGGTGAGAAAACCTGGATTTGTGCTGGAAATGGCCCAACCTGATGATCACTTTAGATAAGCTATTACCAGCAGGACAGTGGGGTGGGAGGAGGTATTGTTTCATATTCTCTGTGTATATATAAAGTCTGCTGCAGTTTCCACGGTATGCATCCGATGAAGTGAGCTGTAGCTCACGAAAGCTCATGCTCAAATAAATTGGTTAGTCTCTAAGGTGCCACAAGCACTCCTTTTCTTTTTGCGAATACAGACTAACACGGCTGTTACTCTGAAACCTGTGCTCTGAATGACACCCTCACCCCTCCAGCTTAGCCTAGGCAGGATGGAGGAGAAAGTTGCCTAATTTGAATGCAGAGGAGACAGGAGCTGGATGTGGCAGGGGATGGGGAGGGAAATCTGGAAACAGCTGTGCAAGGAGACTGGGAGTGGGATGGGAAGTCTGGAGAGGTGAGACTAGGATTGGCTGGGCAAGGAGATTGGGACAAGAAGGCAGGACTGGGACAGGGCAAAGAGGATGGGGGAGAAGGAAGGGAGTCAAACTTGAGGGAAATGAGCAGGAGAATCTGTGCCCACTAGAGAACACACTCCTTCAGAACTGGGAACAGAACCCAAGATTCCCAAGTCTCACCATTCCTCTGCTGTCAGACATCTGTGAAAGCTACTGGCAAAGAGTCTCATCCACTTCTAGTGCTAGTCCACATAGAGGATGACAACCTTCTACTGCTATCATTTACTCTTTTGGCTCAAGTGAGATGGATCTAAAGGTGTCAATCCTGCTGATGACCCATGTGAATGTCAATATGATGCCACATGATGGAATTTGTTTTTCAGATGGCTTTTTAAAAAATTTAGGAAGTTACACTCAACAACTCTATATTAAAAAGAACAGTGTTAAGGATGCCAACTCAGGCACTCAGACGTTAGGAAATGCTAGAATTAAGGTTGCCCAGGCAACCTTAATTCAGCCCCTTTGTTTTATGCATTATAATGCAGTCTATAATTGCAGGATCACATACTATTATTTCCACAGGTCCTCTGCTTCATTCAGTGCACAGAATGAAACTGCTCTGAAGATGAATCAGGGCTGTGTAGTAAAGGAGACATGTCTGTAGGACCCTGGATTCATTTGTTGCTGAAGTCAAAAAACATGTAGTGAACGAGGCAGGAGGGTCTCATGGTAAGGATAGATGAATGCTACCCTGGAGAACTGAATTCAATCCCTGCCACTGCCACAGAGTTCCTGTGAGATATATTCAGTTTAAATGACTTTTGCCTAACTTTTCACAAGTGGTCACTAATTGTGTGTTCATTTTCTGGGTGTCCAACTTGAGACCCTGGGGTCTGATTTGACAAGGTAACAGGCACTCACAGTTGCAACTGAAATCAATGGGAGCTGTGCTTTGAACTCGTGAAGTGCTGTATCAGGACATGTTCTGTCAAAAATCCCAATCATTTTTAAAGGCTATAAATGCACAGTGTGGGCAAGTGAATGTGGTGACTTCCTAAGCTAACACAGCACACAGAATACTTACTGTTTCTTTGATGAGCAGGGCAGTGAGGTCTTCGTCCTGCCCAGCAGCTCCTTGCTCTGGAACGTTACCAGAGCCAGGCTCATGTGATCCCTGTGCAGGGAAGGCTGGGCCTGGCTGTTCATTGTCTATTGCTGCCCACTGGCCTCTCATTTCCTCTGGTGGATGAGCTGGTTGAGGAGAAGCTGGGCCTGGAATCCCATCCTGTTGTGGTTCAGGTCTGGGAAAGGCTGGCCCAGGGTTCTCCTCCCGGTATGCCCTTAGCAAAGATCCCAGTTCTGCTTCAGGCTGCCCTTGCTGCGGAGCACAACAGCTTGCTACAGTACGTGGCTCATTGTCTACAGGCTGGAAATAAGGATGATCCAACCGACTGTTGTCTCTGGTGGCCTGTCTGCTTGCAGCTGCTGCAGCAGCAATTGCTCCTCTGAGGTTTTGTAAGAGGTGTTGATCCAGGTCTTCATCCTCCTGGTCCCGTACTTCCAGATTTTCCTCCCATTTAGGTAGGAAGCCAGCTTCCTCCAGGTTGATTATTTCCCTTTCACCACTGGGACTTGGACTTGTCTTTATTGCTTGAACCACACTTGGCCCAGGCTCTGAATCACCCCCTCTTTCAACCCTGTGCCTACAGTGTTCAGAGGGTCCAGGCAGCTGTGAGGCATGGTTTCCATTCTTGTCTCTGCTTGGCCCTGCACCATTCTCCCCCATGTGGTTACAATGGGTTCTCTGGCACACCACAAAAGGCCGAATCCCCTCTTGCAGATGTAAGCTCTTCAATGCCATGTCACCCTTAGATACTTCTCCCAGCTGGTTCACACCTTGCCACTTCGCAGCGGATCTGATGACATTGGGACGCAGAACCTGCTGTTTTGGGGTCTAAAAAGAAAAGAAAACTGAATAGTGGGAGCGCTCCATTTTGCATACGTCATGGAGAAGTCTGTCTAGATGTCCTGTGCATCCAACTAAAACTCTGGCCTGAGGCAGGGGAAGTAAGATGTTTAGCAAGCAGTAGGATAAGAGCTCAAATACTCATTACAGGCAACTTGCCCTACCCTATATTTCATGATTTTCTCGTAACACAGTTCAACTGTATTTTAACTCTGACCAAAACTAATAGTAAAAGATGTCTGGGCAGACTAAGTACACATGATTTGAATGGACTCCTATCACTCTGCGCCGCCCACCATTAAAATAAGAAGTGGGAACTCTGACCAGTTTGATAACCACACCTCAGTTCACCAATTCACTTAACAGGCAGCAGGAACCAGAATTCATGCGCTAGTCCCAGCCACTGTTTCTGCTTCTGGCAGACTGAGGTTTGTAACCCATGAATCGAGGCTGAAGAGCCATTCCTATGTTTTTCAAACACTGGAATGTAATGGGCACTCTGTTAAGAAATCGGTTTTGCTAGACACCTGTAGTTGCTTTAATGGGAAAAAAACTGGACAACTTATAGGATTTTTTAAAATAGCTTGAAGGTGAAATATGCTTTTTAAGAACAATCTAAGTAAGTTGCAGTTTTTGAACTTGTTCTGTATGACGACAAGTGCAGGTGAGAAATAATGTTATAAGGTAGAATATGCTTTGCCTGAATATCATATGTGTATTTCTGCAGCTTTAGAAAAATGTAACTAAAATCTGAGAATGTATTATGCACCAGATCATCAAAAAGCATATTTAGAAGTATTTTTAGATAAACCAAAAGATTTTGTAATCCATTAGAACCCAGTCTGGCAGTCTGGTTCAAGTCCTGTGTTTTCTTGCAACATTAACTGTCAAAAAAGTGTAGGGAGCTGATGTCTGCCTCCGAGGACTCATTAAGTCTTGCAGGGATAGAACTCCAAAAATCAGGTTATGGCACTGTGTGCCATAAGTGTGTCTTGCATTTTAGAGATATGAGACAAGCTCCATATCACAGGGAACTTGTGCATATTTAGGATACAAGACATTACGAGGGAAAGTGACGGACAGACAAGAGTTACAGCAACAGGGTAATGTGGTGGTGGTGTTAATGCCCACTCAGTGGTTATACTTTTTCCTACACTAACATTACATTCAGTGGAAAAGTACAGTTCATAAGCCTGTCACAGAAGAGACTTTTAAGAAATTTGAAGAACAGGGTTTGTGTGACACCAAGAGCCAGATGCATGTGTTAGGGGCCAGTGGAGGAATGTACTCAGATGCAAGTGGGAGGAGGCAGGAAGTGGTTAATTTTGCACCCTGGGCAGAGTAAATTGACAAGGATTGGAGGAAAGAGAGTAGGAGGAGTGATACTGAGAGAGATCTATACATATTCTGTTAAGGAGTTGAGAGTAAGGTATTTAAGTCATTTTAGTTCACTTAAAATCCAGAATTCAGGATCCAAGTTAAGAGTACAACAAGGTAAGTGAGCTGTGGCTCACGAAAGCTCATGCTCAAATAAATTGGTTAGTCTCTAAGGTGCCACAAGTACTCCTTTTCTTTTTGCGAATACAGACTAACATGGCTGTTCCTCTGAGAGCTGCTTTGGTTAACTGTAAAACTCTGTTTACATTGTCTTCAAGTATTATGCTTCTGTTTATTTAGAGAAAAACAATGAACATACCATGATACACTAAGTATCCAATCATCTCAAGAGATCCACTTACAACTTAGTTGTCCCCTCTGACATGGAGAAAGCATGGATCCTTTTTGTAGTACACCTGACAACCTGTGTCCCTAAACTGTACCAAACCCTTGGGTTGCTTAGTCAGGAGAATTCAGGGTGACAATGCTCTTGGACTTCACCTCTCCACAGGAACAGTACTGAGAGCAACCTCGGAGATATTTTTGTATTGACCGTCGCCCCCAAGGAAAGATAACCACCTCCAAGAAACTAGAGAGAAAATGTTGGCAAGGTAGTGTGGCAAAAGTGGAGCTGGGAAGCAATGAACTATAATAATTTTATTAACACTGTGTGAGACCAGGTCAGCAAGGGAAGATTGTGTGTTCTGGGTTATGAGGCTTTCCTATGTGAATGCACTCCTCTAACTTATATTGGAGCTGTGGGGGAAGAACAAAAGAGGAAAGAAAAACAATGCCTTCCCAGATCAGAACACCTAGGCACATACTAGAAAGACAATGTGGCACCAACTGTTAACTTCAGAGATGTTGTATCTTGTCTCCAACTGTAAACCTTGTTTTGTAATGCTGGGACCTACCAGCTCAAAGGGATTCAAACATTTAAAAGTGGATTCCTGAGAAGGTAAGGGCACTTGTCAGGAGTTGTCTAGGGAGACAGGCTCCATGGAGGAATCTAAGGAATTGGGCCTTCCCAGATCCAGGGAGTGGTAAGCAAGCATTATGTTTAGGCTGATTTACTATTTTTAAGATGTTTCTCTTAAATGTTTTTGTTCTAAATAAAAAAATATACCTTGATCACTAATCACCACTGTTGTTGCCCCAGAGGGACTAGAATTGCAGAGTCTGAGTCTAGATGAGACCTGCTAAAGCAATTATGGTTAACACACTGGCAACTGCATCCCAAATGCAGTCAGAGTGAAAAAAATGCTCCTTTCCATCCCAAGAAAGAGGTGCCGGCCCAAGACCCAAAGCAGTGCATATGGAGAGGAGAAGAAAGGTGTTAGAGGAAAGCAGTAGTCAATAGCCCCACAATTGCATGCCTTGGCAAAAGCTTATTGCATACAAAACTGAAGTCAAGAATGCAATGCATTCAACATTGTGCCAGGAGCATATGCCCCCAAAGTATAATATGTAGGCATCAAATCAGGGCACTGGTATACTACACGGAAATGGTTAAATTTAAGACCATATGGCATTGCTTGATCCTTTTCATGTTAAAGATTAAAGCCAAAAACAGTCATTGCACACTTACCTTACACTGCTTTTCTCTTAAGAAGGCTGGAGAAACAGAGTCAGTTTACCACAGGTTCCCTTATGTGTCAGTGGTCAGGACATTCTGGTTCTTAACGCTCAAATTTGATTACTGAGACATGCCAGATGGCTAAATACTCAAATATATCCCCACTTCCCTAAATGCAAGTCCAGAAGTTTACTGGAAGCAGTGGGCAAGAATTTTGTGCTCTTGACTGCAGAAGTGGCTGACATGCCCATAAATCAAGCAAAGTCCACGACCACCCTTATTTTAAATATGGAGCAGCCCTACACATCCCAGTATACAGTACTCCATCTTCCTGGATTAAGAGAAAAATCATTATATGCTGGGAGCTGTAATCTTTGTTGGCTACACCACCTGTCTTAAGCAGCATGGTTTTGTTAACCTCACTTTACCCAAATAAGATGGAGGAGCTGAGATCCCAAAAAGTTGCCAATGAAGCCATCAGCTAACACTAAGCTCAGGTGCTCCTGCTGAATAAGCTACCACAGTGGTCACTGTGAGCTCTGAAGGAGCATGTTATTCACCTGCACAATAGATTATTCAGAGAGGCAAAGAATAATGTGGTAATGTGTACAACATATGAAAATCACCTCCACCAGGATGACTACATCGTCGTCGTCTTCCTCCTGCCGCTGCTGAACTGGCGTATCTAGCAACAAAGGCAATTCTTCATCTGAGGAGTCCGATATGGTGATAAGTCCTTCATCTCTCCTGTTTATCCACTCTGCAGTAAGGCAGATAACATTATCTATTTGCTAAAGGTTTGCAGCAGCTCAAACATTTAGATCCTACAATTTCAATCTTAAAATAAAAATAGAAGTCCTAAAGTTTGCAATGCTATAATGGGGAAAGGATCTCAAATTCATTGTTAGAATCCTTACCAGTCAGCATACTAACGTAAGGAAATCTATACAAGTGCAGACAACAGCAGAAGACACCTCAAACAGAAGCATATGTAAAAAATAAGTTTATTCTTTAGTGCTGTGCAAATCCTCATCTCAGATTCCAGCAGGAGTTGGTTTAGGAATGGTATAGCAGCACAGGCTGCTGCAAGTGCTAATAGATACTCTAGTCTCAGTGCTCAGCTTCTTCAATTCATTTCCACAAGGAATGGGATAGGAGGCACTGCATACAGGAGGCTCCAGCACGGTCAACATCTTAAAGGCTGTTCATTTGATTGATCATTTGAGCAGGTGCTGGAGGAGGGAAAGGGATCCAAGTGTCATTCATTTGCTTATGAAAGCAAAGAATGACCTAGCAGGAGTCCGAGTGAATGAGGTAGGATCACCGGCTTTAGGAAATCTACTACTCCAGACAAAGGTGTATTCTGCCAGGAAGTGGTGTCTCTATCTTAAAAGGCTCTTTCCAAGAATGAAATAAGAACACAGAAAATAAACAGAGTTACTGGAACCTTGAACAAACTTTTCATCCAGAGATTTATGGTTTCTCTTATCCCAGAGGCAAAGCATGGATTTGATACTCAAGATTTTGGTTCAACCTTCAGTAATCCAGTACAACAAAAAACTGCCATGACAGCCCATCACTTGCCTACAGAGAACAGATTTATCCCTTTATCTCCAAATACACAAAGACACCAGTATTTTAAACTCCACCTGTGAAGGAACAAATGCCAACTTACATAGTCTATTAGGACATGAATGCAAAGCCAGCCTCCATGCTAGGAGACCCTTAAAAGGTGGGCTGCACTACTAGCCTCTCGAAGATTTGTGAAAGTAGCTCTATTCTGAGTGGCTATTTCCAGGAGTTTAGCAAACTGCCTGAAGAAAGTGGAACGGGAGAAGGAGAAATTCACACTTCTTGGCAACCAATTGAGTATGTGATTTGGTGCAGCAAAGCATGCTAACATCTTAGGTATTACTCTCACAGCTTTCAGAGGTTTACTGCTTGCAAGCACTAGTGTTCGATCTAGGGACTTTGCAAGTGCATGTGAAGTTACTTACCTTTCCCACTGTGGCTACGGAAACTGTTCAAGTGAATTACCTCTTCGTTGCCACCTCCCTCTGCCATTTTAAACAGCTGTGCATATGAGCATCAATACCTGAGCATGGCAATCACAACCTCAGGACCTGAAAAACAAGACAGAAATGGGAGTGAACACACAGATGGTCCCATCTTGTTCTCTCTTCAGAGCCCACACCACACACGAACTAATTTCAGTTCAGGAACGATTGTGTTCCAAGACCCTACTGCGACTGTGCTCAGTTGGATTTTTTCCATTGCAGGTTCTAGAAATGCAAAATTACTTCAGGAAAAGCCAAGCACACACATTTTAAGGGAGCTAAGCCTGTGACACGGTGATCATATTAAGCAAAGAAAAAACAAGCCACTTGAGGTGCAAAGGTGATTTTTTTGGAAGCTACTAGAGTCAAGCAAAAGGTAAAGGTGGCCCTTCACTGGAGAGAATCAGTGTTTGATATTTACTGTACTAGTCAGAACTAAGACAGGTAGTATCTCTGGCCATTTTAAAGGCAGACCTCACCATTACACTTCACCTAATTTGGAACAGCCTCATCTACAGTCTTTAATTCACTGATGGGATCTGCTTCTCAGATTTATTGTTTCTACCACTGCACTGAGAGGGCCATTCTTGAAGCCAAAGGCCTAGTTATTTTAAATGTCATCCAAAGAAAGGAATCATTTAAACTTGGTTTAATTTTAGTGTTCTGGCAAACAAGCCAGGAAACTCAGATAACAATTAAATCTCTCCTTTATTCCTAGTTTTCAGCCAAGATCACAGGTCATTCAACAGATGGAATGCCTATTCCAGTATAGAAAGACTTGATAGGAAAGAAAACTAGACGAGTAAGAAGCTGCCACTCTTCTGACCTGGAAAAGAACAATGGGGAAGTAGGATTTCAAACACCACCACCCATCGGCAAAACAAAGGACAGGAGAAACCACAGAAAATAGCTTCCGCAGAGCCTCTCTAGGGAGAGACTGTGTTACACCACTGAATCTGTCTAGGAGTTTGTAAAGATGCTCACATGGGTGCATTACAGATAAGGCTACGTTTATGTCATGGAAATCACTGAATCCGTGACTTCGAGACCTCCGTGAAATTATCTGCTTCAGCCCCAGGAACTGTGGAACTCAAGCTGGCAGGCAGCGGGGCCCTGGCAGGGTTCCACTAACAGGTGACAGTCTCCTGAAGGGGCTCCCCCTCAGGGTTCCAGGGATGGGAGACAGCCTCGCATGGGGGGGGGAGGGAATAGAGGGGGACTCCTCAAGGAGTGGCTGGGGTCTCCCTTTTTCTCTTTGGGAAATATGGGTACCCCACAGCTCCTAGCTGCCCTGGGCGGGGGGGGGGGGGCACATCTGCCAGCCACCACGGTGACAGAGGAAATCACAGAACAGCAAGAGTCACTAACAGGTCACGTCTTCCGTGAATTTTTGTTTGTTGACTGTGACCTGTCTGTGACTTTTACTAAAAGTAACCGAAACAAAGTCTTAGCCTTAAAAATTATAGATGCAGAGTAGAAGCGCACACATGCTTCATAGAGAAGGACTCAGACGTAGAGGACAAAGTCTTCATACACTTATCTGAATAGCTCTTCCTGACACAGACTAAGCATCTCTGGGGTCCTCCAGGCGCTGCTTGGCCAACCCTCCCACGTGCACACCCACACCCAGTCTTTGGCAGAAAATTCTCAATGCTCCTCAAAACAGGACATGGTCCAGTTTTCTTTTATTCTGAGGAACAGGCTAAAGTGACTGAAAGCAGATGAGACCAAGGAGGCATGAGATGCTATGGAGAAAGTGACAAACTGGCTTTAAACTACCAGAGCCTGGTGGGAGAGATGGGTAGCTCATTTTAGGATCCCTAAAGGAAAAACTCTGGACTTACACTACCAGAAATGCCATTCTCAGTCTTCAGAGGTAAACCAAAGAATGACACAGACTATCAGGTAGGGTTTTCTGCTGCCATCTGCTGGTAGAAGACACTAACTATTTGTGTAGGCTGGTAACTGGACAAAACTGTAGCAATTGAAATAATGGCACTGTTATCAGTTGATAAACCCCATCACCACTATCCTTACTTTATGAAGCAAGCCATATCACAGTTTTTTTCTAGAGCCAATAAGAGATGGTATCTGTACTATGAAGAAAGCAGTGAACTAGAATTATGCAGAAGTTGAACTCAGGAGCAATTTTATCTACTGGTAGAACAGTTTTTCATCTTGATTTTCTATGAATCTTTAAACTGTTTGAGAACACACAATGAAATCCCAAATTGACACTTCATTCATCTAGCTGGAGCTTTCAGGTATGTATCACGGTACTGTGCACTACACTTTCCCTGGCAGTGAACATACAGAATGCAAATACGTATTATTCCCCCGTCCATGGCACACCCACACCAACACTGCAAACAGGCAAGTGAAGGAATCCCGGGAACTAGTTGTCTTTCACAGACTTTGTTCTTAACACCTGGCAAATGCCCTCAGATCATGCTTTACTCTCTACAAGAGATTAGATTCCTTTATAAGGCAGAGGATTTTGGCTTGGATTAGTTTCTCACCCTGATGAAGTTTCTCACATCTGAATGTGATAAATGTGCAAGATGGCACCCAACTGACTATTCCAGCACAAAAGAGAATCTGGACTATGAACTCAAAGGAAGATTCCAGAAGCCATTCCAGCATAAATAACAGATTTTCATCTTAGAGAAACAAGATGGATACGGTGGTAATTTTTACTGAATCAACTAAAGAAGAGATCTGGTTAGCTCAACAGAAGTTGGTTCAATACAAGATTGCCTCACCCATACAGCCTCTCTAATATCCTGGGACCAACGATGCTACAACACCATGACAAAGAGATTTCCATCTTGCTTTTTGTGACAGTCCATGGCTATTTCAGTTGCAGGAGGGAGAGGAAATGTCGAAGACAAAGTGGCAGGGAAGCAAACCAAATTACCTGAGAGCAATGGCACTCAACCTTTCCAGACTACTGTACCCCTTTCAGGAGTCTGATTTGTCTTGCATACCCTCAAGTTGCACCTCACTTAATTCCTTGCTTACAAAATCAGACATAAAAATACCAAAAAAAAGTGTCACAGCACACTAGTACTGAAAAATTGTTCATTGTCATTTTTGTCATATTTATAGAATAAATCAATTGGAATATAAGTATTGTATTTACATTTCAGCATAAAGTGCTGTATAAACAAGTCATTGTCTGTAGGAAATTTTAGTTTGTACTGACTTTGCTAGTGCTTTTTATGTAGCCTGTTGTAAAACTAGGCAAATATCTAGATGAGTTGGTGTACCCCCTGGAAGACCTCTGTGTACCTCAAGGGGTACATGTACCCTAGCTGAGAACCACTGCCTTAGAGTCTAAGTTAGGTGACTATACACAGTGGGGCAAGGAGGTGGTGGTGGGCTGGTGCTTTTTTTTTTTTTTTTTTTTTAAAAACCACAAGTCTGAAACACCTTGCTTTGAGGAGTTCAAACTTGTCATAGGAGAAGTTTATGACGTTTAGACACATTTAATTAAGCTGACACAGAAGTTAACTCCTGACAGAGAGGGCCTGTAAGAGTATAAATTAGAACAGCTCTTCTGCACAGGAACCACCCAAGACACTCTAGGTCTCTAGATGCTTTGAAAGTCACATGTGCTATGTGTCTACTCCCATCATGCACCAGTACAAACAGATGCTCCCCCCACACCTCAAAACCCCATCACCAGAATGAACAGAAGATGGCACACTGCAAGTTTGTATTTTACATACTAGACAATAGCGGGGTTATCACACCACCTAACAACTCCTGTCCTTCCCACTCCCAGTTCCCCAAACTCCCAACTTCAAATACGTATATTTTAATAGGAGCTCAGAGCCCAAAGTTGTCCTGTAGGTAAAAAGGGTTCCTTTTTGATGTAAGAATTAATTGCCCACTGTGAGGATGGAAAAGTGATCTATATTACAGACATGAAGTATGCATTCTTATACAGGGCAGAAGGAACACAGCTGAGAACTTGCTATACAAAGACCCTATCTGCCAGTCATTTGAAAAGTGGTACATTTCAGTCCCTAGGATTCTACTTTACTACTGTAGACAAACTGCAGTAACGGCAGCAGCTACAGAAAGAGGAAGGAAACAGTTAAAGTATATCCAAACAACTAGTCACCTTTATCACCTGCATAAGAAATACAGAGGCAAAACGAAGAATGAACTTCACAAAGTCTAAAGCACATATTGAATCTCAGCACTAGAGACTCTGCTAACTCCCAGCTAGGAAAACAAGCCGTAGCTACAGGGCAGTGTGCAAATACACGGCTGCAAAGCCCATGACTGTAGACAAATAAGCATGATTGAGTGTTGAAAGAAGTGTTTTCAGATCAGTAGAGCAAGGATGTTGCTCAATACAAATTTACAGCACCAGCAGTGAAAGTCAATGCTCTAGGAAAATAGAGCAGTTTTTCCTTACTGGCACAGTCAACCACACCCAGACCCACTACACCAGGCAGAACACCCCAGTTTAAGAAATTGAACCCAATATCAAATAAAGAAAGTTAATAGTTCTCTTTGCAACATGCAAGAGTTAATGTTGCACACAGGGCATAATTAATAACCTACTGAGGAGGACTCTGACATTAACTGCTGGCACTACTGAGGAAAATAGCCCTTACTGTGACGATTATCTTTTTAACAAAGACAGCATTGTGTCATTTTCTGTAGACAGGACCTAAAATTAACCAGCCCCAAGGCTGCCAGTTGTCAATATTTAATATAAATATTCTTGTGTTTAAGGTCTTGTCTACATTACAAAAAGAACAAGAGTACTTGTGGCACCTTAGAGACTAACACATTTCTTAGAGCATAAGCTTTCGTGGGCTACAGCCCACTTCATCGGCTGCATAGAATGGAACATATAGTAAGAAGTCATATATATACATACAGAGAAGGTGGAAGTTGCCATACAAACTGTAAGAGGCTAATTAATTAAGATGAGCTATTGTCAGCATTACATTACAAGTTGCTTCATTTCACCTTGCACCGATGCAACTGATTAAAGCAAATTGCAATAATGTAGTGCATCTATTCTAGCTAGAGAGGCACACAGA